CTCGACCATGACCCCGGCGAATGAGGCGTTGGAGGGGTGGTGGACGCAGGGCCACAAGAACGAGGGGTGCAACTACAGCCCTGAGAAGCTGACCACTCTTATCCGGCTCCTCACAGCCACCTTAACGAGACTCAAGCTGCCGACAAAAGTCGCGGGGTTTGACAGTTTCGTCGGCGCGACTCTCCAGTACACGTTCAAGTTCCCTGCTGCGTTGAAGGCCGGCCTGTTTCGGCTGAATGTGCATGGGTACATAAACCCGCCGCCCAGCACGGCAGACACTCAGCAGTACATGGAAGGTGTGATGGTGAGCATGCACCGCATGGCGACCGGACTAGGGAAGGAGGTGTGGGTGTCGGAGGTGGGGCCGATGTGGGTGAGCGGGAATGATTTCGGTGTGATGCTGTTCACGGCGCGGCAGATAGTGGAGACTGTCAACATCATGGGGGCTTCGGCCTGGATTTTCTGGCAGGCTGTGAGTGGGGTGGGAGGGAACAACCCATACGCGTTTCTGAAATGGGGGCTATTGGCGGTCAGGATCTACCGGCTGAACGACACAGAAGTCAAGCCGTTGGATCTGGTGATCTCCAAGAAGCTCTACATGCTGCAGCAGTTTGTGCGTGGGGCGCCGAGAGGAAGCCTGCCTTTGCGAATCCACACATCGGACGGGTGCCAGCACTGCATTGCCGCCTTCTTCCACCCCGACCAGCACTTCGTTTCGATATTCATCGTCAACCAGCGCGACACAACACACACAGCGACATTTTCATTCGAGGATTTCGTGCCGTTTGACGCGGGGCAGGAGTGTGTGTTGGAGACGTATCGCACGTCAGCGACGGAAAATAACACGCTGGTGGCGACTCAAAGTTACACAGACGTGCCAGCTTTGATACAGGTGGCGGCGCTGGGCAGCTCGATGACTTCTGTGGTGCTGCGGAATGTGGACCCCGCGTACGGATGTGCTGCTTGCAGGGATGGTGCATTTTACATCGGAGTGCTTAGCATTGAATTTAGGGGTCTTAGCATAGCGCTGCATCAGTACTGCTGGCTGCAGGGTTTGACGCGGGTCAGGCGGGTGTGGTGCGCACGTCAGCCACGGAGAACAGCACGCTATCCGGAGGGAGCTACTCCGATGTACAGGTGGCTGCGCTGGCCTGGTCTTTTGCATCTGTGGTGCTGCACAAGTTGGCTGGCCCTTGCATCCTGCAGCAATGGTGCTGGTTGGAGAGTTACACAAGGCAGAGCCGCTCACAAGTGCTGCGTGTGCTGCGCAAAGTGCACACCACGCGTATTGGCATACATAGTGATGATGGCATGGCATTGGTCGAGAGAGCAGAGCTGCTCTTTAAAGCCGAGTCTACAAGTGGCTGCACTGGGCTATATGAATCCTGTGTAGCGATGGCATGATCACAAGGGAGGGAGCTGCTCCTCCGGCCAGGTCGTCGGTACAAGGGGCTGCAGGCTGCGGCCTCGTGGCAGGCAGCCATTGCACAGCCTTGCACAATTGGGACTCCCTGCGGTTGCACAGTTACCACTAGTTAACTAGAATAAGTATTCACCCTGCCTAGTGCAGGCGGGGTTACTAGCAAGGACCACAGAACAGAGCTATGATGCCGTGTACGCGGACCCTGCATAGCATAGCAAAAAGTATCACGTTGTTAGTACATAAGGTATTGTCCCCTGCGTTGTTGCCTGAACCATCTGGGTGTATGGTTAGAGAAAGCAGAGCTGTGCATTCTGGTTTTGAGATGGAAAATTGTGTGCCAGGTGTCTACAGCTGTTCATGTGTACCGGTAAGGGGATTTGCGTGTGGATGACACATGCATGTGCTTGTTGATCAAAGAAGGTGCTTCAGGTCAAACCTACTAAGGTAAACTACGGTAAGGTACCATCAACGCTATACATTAGCATTGCAGCCAGCGCTAGGGTGACTAGCAAAGCATCAGTAAAAAAACATCAGCGACAATTGCACACCTGAAGCGTACAACTATAACTTATGCCACAGCTAATCTCACACCACCATGGCAGAAGCTGCCTCCACGCCTGCCCTCAGATCCGAGCCTACACTGAAACCCAGACCTGCTTCCGAGCCTGTCCTCAAACCTGCCACGCTGGTGTGGCAATGCCGGAGGATCCAAGGATGAAAGAGGATTTGCGCGGCAGTGGGACGCTGCTGGGGGTTCCTCTGCAGCAGGCACAGCACAAGCCGCTTTGCCTCCTCCGACACTCCCGCCCACTCCTCGCCACTTAAATCCACCACGCCTTTCAGCACCTCCACAAACACGTCCTTATCCGTCGGGCCCCAGAAAGGCGGCGCCCCGCAGAGCAAGATGTATAGAATCACGCCCAGAGACCACACGTCGGCTTCTAACGCGTATTCGCCTAGGAGGACCTCAGGAGCCATGTAGAACGGCGATCCCGCGACGCCCATTGCGCGATTGCCTGATTGCAGGGGAACCGCAAGGCCGAAATCCGCGAGTTTTGTGGTTAGCGGTGCGGTGGAGAACGGTGCGGAGGGGTCGCGCGTGAGCAGGATGTTTTCCGGCTTGAGATCGCGGTGGAGGACGCCTCGCGCGTGGCAGTGTGCGACGGCCGATGCGACCTGTGCGAACACGTTCGCAGCGTCGCGTTCACTCAGTCGCCCGCGTCGCACGACTTCGTCGAACAGTTCGCCGCCTTCGCACAGATCCATGACTAAATGCACTGAATGCTCGTCCTCGAAAACTCCGCGCAATTGCACCACCCCGGGATGCGCCACCCCCTGCGTCTCCCCAGCTCCGCTTCCGCCAACCCGCTGCATCAGCGCAACTTCTCGCCGCACCTCCTCCTGCTCCGCCTCGCTTCTAAGCCTGTCCTTGGAGATCGTCTTGCACGCGAAGCGCGCGCCTGTAAGCCGCTCGGTGCAGCGTCGCACGGTCCCGAACTGGCCGGTTCCTAAGACATGAGAGTCTAACGAAAAGAATGATTCGAGAGGGGCTGTTTGGAACGGAAGGACTTGACCATGCGACGACGGCGACAATGGCGACGTTGGCGACGAGCAGCGATCCTGGGCTTGGTCGACCCATCGCAGCTGTGATTCAGGCTGCGACGAGGCGTCGGGCTGATGTTGCTGTTTCCTCTGCGACCTTACGGTATGCGACTTGCGAGTGTCTCGCACGCTGCTGCGATCTGTTGGTGCTTGCAGAGAGAAGTGGGCCATTATGGCTGATCGAATCTGATAGAGCAGTTAGAAGCTTGAAGGAAGAGTGGGTGCTAGTAGCGACTACGGCGACCAGTACTTGAAAATATCAACGAGTTAAGTAAATGCCGCAGACAAGTTCGTACCGGGAGTTCGAGCAGCGAGTGCTAAGAAACAACCAGATGCAGAAGGACTTGAGTTTCCGGATTCTGTGTTGAGTACCTGGCATGGCTGCTGCATACTTATGCGTGAGCGTGACGGTGAGATTTCTCTCGGCCTTTCCAGAACGAGCCGCTCCAAGACTCTCCAAGTCGCGATCCTTCTGGTTGCTTCTGGCTCACGCTCGCGCCTTCCATTTTCTCTGTTCGACAATGCCAAGTCAGTCCTCGTGGTTGGGCGAACCGCAGGCTACCCTAACTGCCAATCAGCGATTCGTGCAGCTGTCTCGTTTGAGCCCACACCTGTCGCCTAGTAGTCGTCGTCGAGTCTGTCGGTGTCGTCGGAAGCAACGAACGAAGGTCAACGAAGGGTGCAGAGAGCCTTCGCGCGAGGTCACTTTCGTTTCTGTGACGCCTGTCAGTTGCTCGGCGGAAGTAAAAAGGCGAGGATTTTTGTTCGAGTGTGGCGTGGCAATGTGCTCTGATTGGTCTCGCTCCGCCAACCTCAACTTTGGGTCGGCTCTGGACTGCACGGCACGGCAGACGTCAATTCACATAACCGTCGCAGAAAGATGACCGAGGCTTCCATGCGAAACACTTTCGCGGATATTTCAAGTCTGTACTCGTTACAGTCTGTGCTAAGCTGCTGGACAAGTGAAAGGAAAACATTGTCTCAAGGCCTTTCACCATAAGTTGTGCATCGAGTGTACCCTGACAGAAATCCCAGAATAGGGGCTTCTGCTTCCTTCAGACCTCGGCAGGTGTGTTGACAAGCATCACCCTTGTGGCCCTGTGTGGCTAAGTGAACTAACTTCGCTTGCCCCTCGACACTATCAGTGTCCATGGCACCCCCATTCCGCTGAGATAACGCCAACGGAATGGGCCTCCAAGCGTCGGCGTTCGTGGCACCGTGTGTACCTCCAACGTCGCCTAGCGATGCGACCCCCGTCGGCTTCCCCCACGCGCGTGCACCCTTTCGGCGCCGAACCAGCGAAACGGACGGCGAACCCAGCGAGGGTTCCCCACGCCGAGCCTGCCATCCAGTTTACCACTTCCATCGTGTTGTCTCGATGTCATCGCGTCGCATTGGCATCTCGCATATCCCATCCAGGGTTGACCAAATTTCCACGCCTGGTGGCGAAGCGAGCGTCACCCGCTCCACGCCATGATCGTCACAGCGATCCATTTCGTCCTGTACTGTACCACCGCGCGCCAACTTTTCTCTCGCTCCTACCCACCCCATCCATCGCCTCGCCAGATGCGTGAGATCCTCTTCCCGCGAGCTCTTCGACGAATACCCCTTGCACGGGAGTTTGTCGCAATGAGACCTCTTTCTCCTTTCACGGAGTCCGTCAGTGGCAGGTGTTCTCGCAGCTCGCTTCGTTCTCAGGCTGCTCGCAGCTGTGCTCCGGTTTCGAACCGGGTTGTCAAGCGCTTTCCCTTGCACGCGAGGCGTTGCACCAGTTCTGCTCGCAGTCTGGTTTTGCCATCTCCTTTCACTTGCAGCTTTGCGGCTTACACTCTCTCAAGTCGAATTGGCACAGTGAACTAGCAGTACTGGTTTCTAGTAGCACCATCAGCACCGGGAGGTGATTACGATCGGCTTCTTGCCTGGCGGCGATTAGTTTCGCAGCGGGCAAAGTTTTTTTACTACTTAACTACCTGCCATGTTGTCGCGGAGTTGTCGCATCCTATCGCTGGTAGAACTGGCGACAGCAACGTTAATGCTGGCCCTTTCCACTGTAAGATGCTCTACAGCCCTAAAGTCCTTCCCGCCTTTTTTGTTATCATGACCGGCTGCGCTATCCTCTGCTTCCTCCTCGCCACTGATCCCACATTGAGCCCCTACCACGCTGTCGTCTGCTTCGTCCTTGCTTTCGTGGGGATCCCCATTGCTCCCTGCTCACTTCCATCCCCCCAATCCTCCCCATCCAGCCCTCCATGCCTCTCTTTCTTCTCACACATGGGTCTCTCCAGTCAAGTTCGTCCTCCAATCCAGCCCTCAGTTCCCTCACCCAAACCGCCCCCCCCCCCCCCCCCCCCCCCCTCTCTATCCTCGCAGGTGCTCCAGTTGCGTCTGACTATAGCAAGGACAGCTTCGTCCCCCGCCCACGTGGACTTTGAGTATTCGGACACGCTCTGTGGCACGGCATGGCGGGACGACTACATCCGCCTGCACTCCGCCATTCGCTCCGCCAGTGCCGCCGCTTACACCCCCCCTCCCTCTCCCACTCCCCCTCCCCCTGCTTCCTCCCCCGCCTCCCACTCCTCCCGCCGATTGCTCTCGCTCGCAAATTCCCCACCACTGCCACCACCAGCCGCAGCAGCAATAGTGACATCAGCAGCAGCAGCAGCTGCTACATCAGCAGAAGTCTCGGAACCAAGCTTGTCAAACCAGACCCTCCCAGCTTCCCCCATTCGCTTCCTCACGTTCGACCAAGCCGGGCACTGCGGCGGCTTCGGGGACTTCCTAGTCGGGCTCGTCTCCTCCTTCGTCGCTGCGCTCTTGGACCGCCGGGCGTTTGTGATTCGCCAAAACTGCATCCAGTACGCGTTTGAGCCCGCATTCATCGACTGGCGCCCGTCCCCTGATGTTCCCATGGAGCCTTTTCGTCGCACGAGGAATCTGAATGAGTCGTTTTCGCCGGGGGTGATTCCGTTTCTGGATTTGAATGGGAATCGGCTGGGTTTGCAGGGGCTGGAGAGGTTTAAGGCGTTTCGGCATGTAAAGGTGCTGTGGAACCGCAGGATGGTAACGGAGATGCTTACGAAGGGGACGGGCAATTGGGCCGATGCGTTCAGGGCGATGGGGTTGCGCCCACCGTACGCCTTTTGCTGCATTCTGCGATTCCTTGTTAGGTACGCCCTGCATTGCATTGGGATGAAATGACTATTCTCAGATTCCTTGGCTGGTAGTCCCTGCGCTGCAAGGAGGTTCAGAGGCGATGTCCCCTTGAGGAAAGAGTTATGGCTGCTGATGATGGTGGAGATGCGCACGGTGCTGGTGAGGTGAGGTGAGGGTGCATGTGCAGCTGAGAGATGACATCTCCTCTCCCCTCCCCTCTCACATCCCTCTGTCCCTCCTTCCTTTTCCCCTCAACCCTCACCTTTCACTGTAGGCCCAGGAAGGAGGTATGGCCGCTGACAGCGCGGCTACTGCAGGAGATGAGGGAGGTGCGGACGGTGGTGGTGGGGGTGCACGTGCGCCTGAGCGACAGTGTGGTGCGCGACCCGCACGCCACCGCCAAAAGCGTCACTCCCGCTTCCATGGCCGCTGCTTTGGAGGCGGCTGCTCCCATTCTCGCCTGCGCCAAGGTGAGTGAGCCTTCTCATGCGGCGTATCGCCTGAATACCCACCTGCAGTGTGCGTCACCTGCAGTGTGCGTCACCTGCAGTGTGCGTCACCTGCAGTGTGCGTCATCTGCAGTGTGCGTCATCTGCAGTGTGCGCACGGTGCTCCCATCCTCGCCTGTGCCGAGGTGAGTGGGCCAAGAGAGGAGAGGCAAGCGAATGCAGGATTGTGCGAGACCAAGGCAGGGAGCGGTGAGGGCAAGGCAGGGAGCGGTGAGGGCAAGGCAGGGAGCGGTGAGGGCAAGGCAGGAAGCGGTGGGGGCAATGGATGCTCATCACATCGTCTCGACAACTCTCCCCCCCCCAACACACACACACAGGCGGGGGGTACCACATGTCTCTCACGGTGCGCTGGATGCTCATCACATAGGCTCACCCCCAATCAACACCACCACTCCCCCCTCCCTCCCTTCCCCCCCTCCTCTCATTTCTGTCTGCCAGGCAGTGAGGACATGTGGTATCCGCCGCCTCTCACCGTGCGATGGATGCTCATCGTCTCACCATCATCCCCATCATCTCAAACCACTCCCCCCTTTCCCACCCCCACCCCACCACCCCCCTTCCCAACCCGCCTTGTTCGCCGCCAGGCAGTGGAGGACATGTGGTATCCCCCGCCTCTCACAATGCGCTGGATGCTCATCACCAACTCAATCGACTTAAAGACGGCCATCCGATCGCACTTCCCCGGCAAGGTGAGTGCCTGTGATGGAAGCTTGATCGCAAATGGTGCTGCTGCTTGTCACAATATATATATTTGTAACTGCCTGTAGCTGTAGTTAGTGTAGATATTTAAACTTTGTTTGGTGGTGCACCTTGTGTGTTTCCTTTGCTATATGTACTTCGAAACTATAGTGAAGACACACATTCTCCAATTTTCCTCTCAACTCACTCGACACTCACCCTAGGTGAAAACCCGCTCGACACTTAAGTTAGGGCCTAGGCTACTAAGCCTAGGCCCCACCTTTCTACTGTTAATTACTTAGTCTCTCGACACTGCTGATGCTTATTACCAACTCCATTGACTAGAAGATAACCGTCCGCTCCCACTTCCCTGGCACGGTCAGTGCCTGCTCTCTTCGCAAATGATTATTGGGAGTTTGCAAGTGAGTACCCATCTATTCGCCGATCCTTGTTTTAGGCGGTTCCTGAGAATTCTAAGAAAGAAATCTCTTCAAGATAAAAAATAAAACAACTCCCACCACCGACTAGGAGCATCTATACTGACCCATCCACTCAACCTTTATCCATGGCTGGCTGCAGCTTGAACGAAAGCTCCGTGCTCATCCATCCATCTACCTCCTTGTTTCAACACCTCATGACCCATAACCCACCCAGGCACTCTCCAAACTTACCCGTTCGCTTCGCATTACCCACCTATCCACTCCACTCCCCACAACCCACCCGTGCACTCCCAATGACTTCTGCAGATACTCGAGACAAATTTCGTGCCTCGCCACTCACAGGCGTTCGGCAACAAGGGCAAGGAGCAGGAGAGGGAGGAGGCAGAGCAGAGCTACCGAGAGATGGTGGCTGAGTGGCTCTTGCTGTCGTCTAGCAACTCCGTTGTTCTGCCGCTATGTATTCTCTACACCCGATGCCACTTTATACGCCACCTCATTAGTGTGACCCGGAACAGTCACATCCGCAAGCAGACTTCGGCGTTGCATACAGTGGCATATGATTCTGTTGGGAACGAATCCATTGTACCCTACCGTAATACCCCGGATATAAGCGCATCTGCGCTTATAATAAAACAGTGTTTTTTAGGGGGGTGCGCTTATAAATGAGTCAAAATTATAAGCGCATGCACTTATACAATAACAAACACAAAAATATGTTATAAACACACCAAACTGTGCATTAGAGTCTTGCAATTTCATTCAAATCGAAATGTGTGGAGCGTTCTGTCAAATTATAATGTTGTCTAGGCTTTAGTGGGGTAGCCCATATGGGGTACACATTTCTAGGGTTGCATATTTGTATCACTTTCATTCCGTAGTCATCCATTCTCGTTCTAATTTCCTCATGGTATCGAGCAGGTTCCCCCGTGGGAACTGTGCCTAGGGCCCACCACATCGAGTTTTTTTTTTCCTGCCCGAAGCGCGCTCAGCCCGAGTCGCGCTCCGGGCTCTCACTTCGTCGAGCTGCCCTAGCGGCCCCAACGCCCTAGCGGCCCCGTAGCCCGTCGATTCGGCCCCGCCGCCCTTCGCTGCGGCCCCGCCGCCCTTCGCTGCGGCTCCGCCGCCCTTCGCTGCGGTTCCGCAGCCCTTCACTGCGGCCCCGCCGCCCTTCACTACGGCCCCGCCGCCCGTCTCAGCGGCCCCGCCGCCCTTTGCTGCGGCCCCGCCGCCTCTCTCGCTGCGGCCCCGCCGCCCTTCTCAGCGGCCCCGCCGCCCTTCGGTGCGGCCCCGCCGCCCGTCTCAGCGGCCCCGCCGCCCTTCGCTGCGGCCCCGTCGCCCGTCTCAGCGGCCCCGCCGCCCTTCGCTGCGGCCCCGTCGCCCTTCGCTGCGGCCCCGCTGCCTCACATTGCAGCCCCGCCGCCCTTCCCTGCGGCTCCGCCGCCTCACACTGAGGCCCCGCCGCCCTTCGCTGCAGCCCCGCCGCCCGTCTCTGCGGCCCCGCCGCCCTTCGCTGTGGCCCCGCCGCCTCTCTCGCTACGGCCCCGCCGCCCTTCTCAGCGGCCCCGCCGCCCTTCTCTACGGCCCCGCCGCCTCTCTCACTGCAGCCCCGCCGCCCTTCTCAGCGGCCCCGCCGCCCTTCACGGCGGCCCCGCCGCCCTTCACTCCGGCCCCGCCGCCTCTCCCACTGCGGCCCCGCCACCTACCTTGCGGCCCCGCCGCCCTACCAGCGGCCCTACCGCCCTACACCGCCCGCGCCGCCCGAGCCGCCTCGGCCCCCCGAGCCGCCCGAGCCGCCTGAGCCGCTGAGAAGCTGAGCCGCCCGAGCAGCCCGAGCCGCCCGACCTGCCCAAGCCGCCTGAGCCGCTGAGGAGCCGAGCCGCCCGAGCCGCCTGAGGAGCCGAGCCGCTGGTGCCGCAGAGCCGCAGTTGCTGCTGAGCCGTCCGAGCAGCCGTGTTGCCGTGTTGCTGTGCTACTGAGCTGCCCGAACCGCCCTGTCTGGTGAGAGCAGCGCTTCTGTCACTGCACTGGCCCTGTCCTACAGTTGGTACTACTAGTCTACTGTTATCATGGCTACCCCTAGTGTCCTCGCGTTTGACGCTGAGGGTCGAGCCATTGACTTTGAGGTCTGGGTCGACGACCTGCTGCTGTTCTTACAGTGCGATAGGGCAGACGGTCTCTCTCTCTTTGACCTCACCTCTGGCGCCTCTCCTGCCCTTGCTGCTGATGCTGACCCCACTGTTCGCTCCCAGTGGGCCACGCGCGATGCTGCTGCACGTCTTGATGTGCGTCGCCACCTGCCTACCACTGAGCGCGCGCACTTTAGTCAGTACAAGAGTGCTCAGACCTTGTAGGACGCTGTAGTTGCGCGCTACTCTTCCCCTGCCACTGCTGCACTGAGCCGCCTCATGCTGCCGTACCTCTTCCCTGACCTTGCTGCCTTTCCCACAGTTGCTGACCTCATTACACACCTCCGCACTAGTAACACTCGCTACCGCGCCGCGCTTCCTGCTGACTTCTGCGCCAAGAACCCCCCCCCCCCCCCCATGTACATCACTCTCTATTATATAGTCACCCGCCTCCCTGACTCCCTTCGTGTAGTCAGGGACCACTTCCTCTCAGTCTGTCCCACCACTCTCACTGTTGACCTCTTAGAGAAGGCCCTCCTAGCAGTAGGAGAAGAGCATAGTCGCTGTAGGAGCCTCTCGTGGTGACCCTCGCACCCCCATCTTTGAGGGGTATTCCCCTTCCCCCCTTTTGCCCTCTATCGCCTCTACCGCTGCGGCCGACCTCGTTGGTCTTGAGTCGGTCGGTGCGGCGTCTGCCCCTAGCGGGAGACGCCGCTCTGGCAAGGGTAAGGGAGGCAAGGGCGTGGGTGGAGCTAGCGGGGGCGGTGGAGGTGGCGGTGGAGGCGGCGGAGGGAGAAGGGGTGGCGGTGGGAGTGGTGGCGGGGGTGGAGGTGTCAGTGGCAGCAGTGGAGGCGGAGGTGGCGGCGGTGCTAGCGGAGGCGGCGGTGGTGGCGGAGGTGGAGGAGGCGGTGGTGGAGGAGGTGGCGGTGGTCGGGGTGGCGCTTCGCAGCGGAGCAGCCCTGGTGGTGGTCAGTGCCAGCAGCAGCAGCAGCAGCGTTCTCGGGACATTCCCCCCCCTCAGCAGCTCCGTGAGTGGTACGCGCAGCGTCAGCGTGGTGAGGGTTTTGGTCCGTGCACCTACGTCCTTCGCTCCGGCGACCGCGCGGGTGAGCAGTCTGGGGGTGCCCACCCCACCCAGCGCTGCTTTGGCCGTCTGACGGACGCTTGGCGTCAGCAGTTCCCGGAGGCCAGTCAGATCCCCCGCTGGGGAGAGCTTTCTAGGGCAGGCGTAGCTATCTATGATCTTGACTTTGATGCTATCCTTGCTGCCATGTATGCTGTGACTATTAGTGATGAGGGTGACTGTTACCGGTCTTTCCCGCCCGACCCGGGCATTGGTACTGCTGCTCTAGGTGCTGGTGAGGCTGCTGCTCTAGGTGCCAGTGCATCTGCGCCCTCAGGTGCTGGTGAGTCTGCGCTCTCAGGTACCGCGTCGGCTTCGGCCTCCCTCACCTTCACCCTTGACTTAGGGGCTTCTCGCTCCTTCTTTCGAGACCGCACCACACTCACGCCGCTTGGTTGGCCGGTTGCAGTCTCCCTGGCAGACCCCTCTGGGGGTCCTGTCCTCTCTCACTTCTCCACTGTCCTCCCGTGTCCGGCTGCCCCCTCTGGCACCTTGTATGGTCTTTACCTCCCCTCGTTCTCTACGAACTTGGTGAGTGGTGCTGACCTGCAGGATACGGGGGTTCACCAGTTTACTCCTGCGAGTCAGCGGGTGACCCACTGCTCAGACGCTCGCACAGGCTGGCACCTGGCCACGTTTACGCGTCGGCCAGGGTCGAGCCTCTACACCCTGACCACTGGGTCTCCTCCTGTCCTTGCGTCTAGCCAGGTAGCTGCGTCGGGTCAGGTGTTTGCTGCAGCGTCCAGGTCTGGTCCTGAGTCTGCCCCCTGCTCGTGTCGCCTCCTGTCTCACGAGACTCTCCTGTGGCACCACCGTCTTGGTCACCCCTCCCTGCCTCGTCTCCGAGGCATGGCCTCCCGTGTCCTTGTCTCTGGTCTCCCCCGGTCCCTCCCTCCCCTTCCTCCAGGGCCTGGTCCTTCCTGTGTCGAGGGGCGGCTCCGGGCTGCCCCTCACTCCTCTCAGTTTCCCCCGATAGAGGCCCCGCTGCAGACGCTTCACATGGACGTGTGGGGCCCGGCCCGCATCCGTGGACAGGGTCACGAGCGCTACTTCCTGTTGGTGGTTGATGACTACTCGTGTTACACCTCAGTCTTCCCCTTGCGCAGCAAGGGTGATGTCACTGAGGTGTTGATCGACTGGATCCGCGCAGCTCGTCTCCAGCTCAGGAGGAGCTTCGGCTCGGACTTTCCTGTTCTGCGTCTGCACTCTGACCGAGGCGGAGAGTTCTCCTCTGGCCTTCTGCGAGCCTACTGCCGTGCGCGAGGCATCCGCCAGACCTTTACGCTTCCGGACTCTCCACAGCAAAATAGGATTGCTGAGCGCCCCATTGGCATGGTCATGGACGTCGCTCGTACGTCTATGATGCATGCGGCTGCCCCCCATTTTTCTGTGGCCGTTTGCGGTTCGGTACGCGGCGCATCAGATCAACCTTCACCCCAGAGTCTCCATGCCGAAGACCTCCCCAGCTCTGCCGTGGAACGGGAAGGTAGGCGATGCGTCTGCGTTCCGTGTCTGGGGATCTGGGGCGTTTGTCCGCGACTTGTCTGCGGACAAACTGTCCCCTCGCCTGCTCCTTGTGTCTTCCTTCGCTTCCCCCCCTGACGCACCAGGGTGGCAGTTCTACCACCCCTCCTCTCGTCGTTTTTTGTCCTCCCAGGACGTTACGTATGACGAGTCGGTCCCCTACTACCGTCTCTTCCCCTACCGCACTCCTTCCCTCCCCCCGCCGCCGCACTTCCTTGTGCCAGGTCCCCCCCAGGTAGACCCCCTCCCCCCTCAGGGTCCTGCCCCTTCAGGTGTGTCCCAGGTAGACGAAGTCGAGCCGGTCGAGGTTGCTGGTGACTCTGGTACTGCTGCGGGTGCTGAGCCTGGGGGTGCTGACTCTGGGGGTGCTGCGCGAGTGGGTGCTGAGCCAGGGGTACTGAGCCTGGGGGTGCTACGACTGGGGGTGCTGAGCCTGGGGGTCCTTTGCCTGGGGGTGCTGCGTCTGGAGCTGCTGAGCTTGGGGGTGCTGCGTCTGGAGCTGCTGAGCCTGGGGGTACTGAGTCTGGAGCTGCTGAGCCTGGGGGTGCGGAGCCCGCGGCCGCTGGACCTGCTCGTGTGGCGTCTGGCGGTGCAGGGCCTGGTGGTTCTCCAGGCGCGAGTGGTTTGCCCGGCGTTGGAGGCGTATTGCTGGAGCTGGTGCTTCTTCGGCTGCTGAGGGTGCTGGTGCCGCCGGTCTCGGAGGTGCTAGCCCTAGGGGTGCTGGAGCTGCTGGGCCTGCGAGTGCGACTAGAGTCGGAGCTGCTGAGGGTGTTAGCGCTGAGGCTAC